AAATTAATGATGATGATGTTGATCACGATGGTGATGATTCTGTGGATTCTGATTTCTCGGAAATTAATTGTATACCTAATATAGGAGTTTTGTCGAAGGGTACAGAAAGTGAGAAATTAGTTTTATTTGTATATTGTATATAATATTTTTTTAATAAATGGTTTGATTTCAGGATTCCAAAACATTCACTATTATAAGACATTGATGAATAGTTGAATCCGATAAGTAATATGTTTCTAGATACTTATGATTATCATACTCATACGTGAATTTCCAAACGTAGCAGTTGGAAACATAAACATTTAGTGTACTTCACAACAGGTAGATTTTGGCCAGCACGGGAATCCAGGATTCTTGCTCTGTCCTATTCGAGACTCATAGGTTGAATGTACATGTACCTCAGCGCTGATATTCACACCGGGATTCAACCATCACTGTATTCACTTCAAACGTCCTATGCGTTATTCACTGAGCTAGTGAGTCCAGATGATCACTAACTTATTCAACGGCCTTGATGTTTGTATTATTATTATTATTAGGAAGCGTTTAAGTTATCCCGTTGTTGATATATACTGTTGTAACGTGTGTGTGACTGCAGGTTTTGGATAAGCAGCGTTTATTTATCGATCGCGGTCTGTGACAGTGACACGGAAAACACGTAAGGATGACCTAGTGCCCTGATTGGCCCTGCTTCGCTGTCTAGCCCCAGCCAGTTGAGTCAAGAACACAAGTCACAGCCTCTGGGTTATGAATCATTATATTTCATACATACTTTGTTTATATACCAACCAAGCATACCACATCTTACCATAAAATAGGAAACAACATTTACAAAATATTTAACAAGTGAAATAAACATCGACCAATAAGAAATGTACATTTAAGGTTCAAGGACACCATTGGACTTAACATGATAATTATTGGTCTCTTTTTCCGACTATCCTAACATATACTGAGTACTAATCTAGGTATGATTATCACTGGGTTTCAAGTAAATCCAGTCGACGACGAAATTCGATTTCTGATCTCCACTACTAACCATAATCCATACGTTCTAAATGTTTTGTGTTTTGATATCTATTTAGAGTCGATCCGTGCAAGTTAGTATTAAAAACTGATCGAAATTCAGTTCTAAACATCAACCACAGGATAACTCAAACTCTTTTTTAATAAAATTATTTAGTATCATTTTTCTAATGAACAGAAAATACCGTAACTTTATCTTTATTGGTACCTTTACATACATTTGCATACAAGAAAAATGAGTTGCAGTTAACACAATAATTCATAAAAAATCTAAAACTGTAATACAATTAATTTTAAGTTCAGATAATACACATTCATTCACTGCTAATTAATTCATCATTATGATTTAAATTTGATGTATAAATAAATAACTCACAATTCATACATATTATGTTGTTTCTGATTTCTTTTACAGAAGTCATAGAATTGTCTGACTGTTACACTTTCACTTTCGATACTAGCCTTTATGAATTGTGTCTTCGTAGTGCATCTGATCTTGCTCAAGAACCTGTTGTATCACAGATTTTACCATCAACTATAGTGTACGTTAAAATTAGTTTTGTTGTTCATCTTTTAAGTTTTTTTAAACTTAACTGGTTATGTTTAGTTCATTTTTATATGGTAAGAATTTATTTTGAATTTCCTATTATAACTGGTCTTGTCCACCAGCGTTCATATACCTGTATGACCATGCCACTTGATTGAACTGTGCTGTTCAGGTTGTAAAAACCCTGGATATCGTCTGGTTTTCTTGGAAGCCAGAGTATAATATCCGTCTAGCAGGGTATACTTATAACTGAATTGTGAATTATGATTTGTCATAAAGTTTTCTCCATCTCTGACTTTTCAGTTTGTTTCGCCTTCACAAATTTTGTCGTTCCTATTATGCTTTGATACCACTAAGTTTCGACAAAGCAGTTTTAGAATTAATTGACTTTGGACAACTTCTATACACTCAAGTAATGGGATTGTGAATTAAGCTTCAGTGAAAAGAGTTACATACCTCAAATGATCATTAGATCTAGAACAATGCTGGTAATTATTTCCAGAGTTGTTAACATTTTGATTAGCAAATTTATAGGAAGTTGGTTAAAATAGTTAAGCACTTATCTGAAAAAACTATCGTTATTCACTAACCAACCAAAGAATCTTAAGTGACTATGAGAATATTATATTACTAAATACCTGTAAGACTGCGAAAAGCTAGCGGCATTCATTTAGTAATCGTTTCATGGTTCGCATCTCAGCTATGATCAGCAACTGTTACAGAAAAACTGAAGATACTACCATCTCAATTAATTTTTAGTGGTTAAGTTGCGGTTTATATTCATAACTCAATGATTACGAATAGATTTCTCAAATAAATCTATTCCTTTCTATGGAGTAAAAAATGTGTGCTTCAAGTATTATTCCTTGAACCCTGAGATCGCCAAGACCACTACCAACCTAGTCCCTTTCCAGGTACATTAAGGAAAAATATTTTTACATAGTGCAGGCAACTAGGAAGCGATGACCGCCTCCATACCTTTAATAGCACTCTCAACTGACGTAATGTTCCATAAATGACTTTACTATATTCGACATGTGATAATGAAGCTTTAATAATCGATAACAAACTACCTATTTCTTCTTCACATGTATACTAATTTTTATTCAAGCATAAATTTGACTCTCATGATTGTGTCCATACATAAGTGCTAACTCTCAGATACTTTTATCTTGTTGCGATCTGTTCTACTGAATTATTCAGTCATTTGGCGATTTATGTAATTTTCTACCGCTTTTTTTGTAGGAATGATTTAAAACATCTATATTCACCTCATATTTATTCGATGCGTCGGTCACGATTCGGATAATCTGAATAAGAAAGATTACAAAACCTCATTTTCATATTTAATGTTCTAAAAGTTTCATTTATAAACTATATAATATCCTGACTTGTAAACCTTTCGCTATAATATCGTGTACATTCATGTTCCAAAAATGTTTTGCAATTATCAATTCATGATTTCACCTTCAAAGTGTAATCCTTCTTATTTTTACCCGTTGTTAAACATCCCTCAAAGGCTTGTTAAGGCGTTAGTTTAGTAATTTCAATCACTCGTTCTGCTGTTGGAAAAAAATAATAAACGAAAGCTCCCTCACAGATTATGATGTCAATGAGCGAAGTTTTATGGTTGCTTTCGAATGACGCGCGATCATAGAGTGAAAGTAACTCATGAAGAAAATAACACAGGGAAGTCGATTGAAATTTCGATAGTACTATATTTTAGTTGTAATAGTTTCAGTGTATTCAACTTGTTTAACGAGACTTTGTCTTGAATCTATAATCTTCCAAGCACTTTATGAACAACAGTATTTGAAATATCAATCGTGGACCGTAACCCATGTCAAATGTATCTACAGTCACGTTTCAGTATATAGAGATCATTTAAACGATTATTTCGGAGACTTGGTTGGTTGCTTTAACTTCTTAGCTTACAAAAGATAACTGGTTTGTGTTTTGTTTGAAAAGATTCTTGTCACATGTAGATTCTGGATACTTTGTGCTGCTGCGTTTGCGTGACATCAAGGATAAATATGAAGATGGAAGTTCCAAATATTTGATTTTCAATTCCTTCCTATTGAGCCGACAGTGCTATCGCGGAAGTTATAAATCATAGCTAAATTAAGTTCTAGCTCAGTAGTTAAAGCAGTCGCTCTTCAACCAGTAGGTCATAATTATGAATCTTGCTGTAACTACTTCCGCCGAAGGTGTAGAGAGTCAGCTCTCCCTCACGAAATACTCACATGTCCACGAGTATACAGCCACTATCGGGAAAGTCTTACTCACTGCCTTCTCGTGGCATTAGTTGTTTACGAAATCGAGAGGCCGAAAAGCGAATGTCCGACGCTCTAACTGGGTTGGTGGATATGGAAGATCCACCTAGGGGAATTGGAAAACCCTGACCCCAAACCAATAGTACACATGAACTCTGGGAACCTTAAGGAACAAATGTCGTACGAACCACTTATTGTGTAGTGAACAAGAACACGGGTGGGGACAATCGATTGTATTTAGCACAAAAATTACAGACTATCTCAATAAAATGTGAATACCATAAAGTCAATCGTCAATTTGCAAAATATCATTCCATCATATCAAACTGTACTGTTCCCGTTGCAAACACTAATCCATTGTCTCCCATTCCATTGTACATGCGTTTTCTTACAATTCCATTGTGCTCTTGCTCTTCCTTTCTTGATCTTCGCCATCTTCTGCTGCCGGACATTACGTTCTTTTAACGCACGTTATATACTACTTATATCAATATAAGTAGCTCACACCACAATTGGTCACCGGCTACTATGTGAATGCATCTCTTGACATTGCTCAACTGAGTTGTCGATCAGACCTTTAGGCCGAAGCCTTTAGGTGTGGCCCTCCAAAAATCCACGTGCTTCGGTCTGGGCACCCGTGCAGTATCACACACGCAAATTAAGTGACTTGTGTGGCGCATATGTATTCGGTGCCCCTTTGTACTAATATTTATGTGTTCAAATAAATAAATAAATACTTCGTTATGGATGCTATGTAGCATCAATAGTTCTCACAAAAGCAGTCTGACACAAAGGTGAGCGCATAACTTTGCACTTGGCAAGTAAATTATTACATAATTATTAAGGTGAATGACTGAGTCTGGATCATTCGGTCTCATTTCACAGCGTAATTTGGGTACACCTATCCGAGATATGATAAGCACAAAAACTTTGTGGCAAACAAAAGCTGCTGCAGTTCACAAATTGTAGTTTTTTAAATAGTTGTAAAGTGTCGCCGAATTACCTAAGTGAATTTATTGTATTCCGTTATCTACCGAGCATTAACCTCTGTTTTGTGAAAAGCTTGTGCTAGTCAACTCGTGAAAAATAACTTCGTATTTTTTATGCCTTACTAGTGAAAATAATTGTGTTTGTTATCTTTAAAAAATATTTCTACATATTAAATGTATATTTGTTTGTAAAACATTATGTAAATTCTATATTTTTATCCGTAAAATTTGATTGTAATATAAACGCAATTCAATAACAAACAACATCGGTAAATGCATTTTCATTGACGGGATACGCTTATGGGTGTGTTCGCCATATCCATTTTTCTTCGTTTACTAATTGTTGGTGATGCTCTAGAATCTTGGCTGGGATTGAATAACTGACAACAATTTCAAAAAACATTTAACTTGTTAGGAATATAAAATAATTTGGACTATACATTTAAAATAACAATATGCATAATCCCGAAATAAATATTGACACTGGATAACCCTATTTGGTAAATACACACAATATTCTATAGAATTTCTCTCACAATGACACCCGTTACCTAATTAATCTTAAGTACTGATATAAAGGATGTGTTCATGAGTTACTTAAAAATAGTTTGAATGTAGGTTCAAATAAACATATGAATTAACAAGAAAAGTGTAAAAAATAAAGCTCTTTGTTATCAGTGAGGAGTTCTTCGCATTATCGCTTCTAAGTTTGCCACCTAATATTCCTCAGTCTGACCAAAATTGAAAATTACCTTGGTTTCTGAAAAAGGTATATATTACACAATAGTACCAGCTCTTACTGTCTTTAAATGTTTCTAAGTATATGCGTTTGCGAAGCATAATACTTCTATTACGTTACGCTATCATTCTTGGCATATTTAAAAATGTTGGAATTAACATGACTACTTAAAAAAGCTTTGTATATCCAAAATCATTACAAATAGTACGGAAAAGCAATATTGCTTCTTCCATTCCTTCAGCAAGAAATTGGTCTTACTTTTGTATAACTGTCTGATTCAACCATAAATTTAGTCTGTTCGAAAATCCTAATTACTAAATGATATTCATAGTCTAGTGGATGTAGAGTTTCAAAAGGTAATAACGTGAAACAGCTGTTCACTAAGTATTCACGGCTGTAGAATTTGAGACTGCTCCTGGCGAAAAAATTCAACGTAAGAACGCTCAGTGAATTCGCTTAGTATGAAAGATCTGTTTAGGTAACTTGAGCACTTTTAATTTACGAAATAAGGAGATTTGCTGCCATAGATGACTTAATACAACTTGCTTCATAAGTAGCTAAGTTGACAGAATCTTAGACGTACCTCATCGTATTCCTTTTCTGATACAGACTTTGATGCACCGTGAGCGCGTTTCTAAAAAGGAATGACCGAATACATGAGTAATGGTTTTTAACATCAATGGACACTCCGATAGTTACAAAAAGTATGTGAAAGGTTGCTAGAAAAGCTAAAGCGAAAATTTGCTCTTGTTTTTTGAAATAACCTTAGTCATTGCACTATGAAAGTTCATCTCTCAGTGAAACCAGATACTAAACATATTTTTCGTTCGAAACGTCCTGTACTATATGCTGCTCTTGAATTAGTTGATCAGGACTTTAGTCGTTTCCAACAAGCTGGTGTAATCCAAGCAGTCAACTACTGTGCATGGGCCTCACCTATCGTAGGGAATAACGCTGACGAAACTATACGCATATGTACCAACTTATCAACCGGTTTAAACGCTGCTCTGGATGTATATTAGTATCCGTTTTCAGTTCCTGAAGACTTGTTCGTTAAGTGGTGGAACATGTTTTGCAAAAATAGACTTTTCTCATGTTTGTCTGCAAGTGGAATTAGATGATCATTTTAGAGAGCTTCTAACCATCAACACTTATCAAAGGTTATTTCAATATACCCTCGTACCACTTGGCGTCCATACCGCACCTGCCATCCTTTAGTAAATGATGGATGCGATGTTAACAGGTATACTTGGAACAGCAGCTTATCTAGATGTTATCATTGTTATGGGTTCAACTGAGAGCGAAATTTCTGATCGACTGAATCAAATTCTTAGCCGCATGATGGAGTATTGTTTCCAACTACCTGAAGAAAAGTGTATCTTATTCATGTATTCGATGAAATCTCTTTATTTTGTCTTCAATAAGAACGGTGGCCGACCGGATCCAGCCAACATAGAAGCCATTCAGAAGATCCCTGCACCGACTGATGTCTTTTCATTAAGATCCTTCCTGGCACTAGTTAATTACTACTCATTTCTCCTTGAAATGCGTCGAGTGTGAGGTCTCTTGAATAAATTACTTTCAAAACACAAACTCTGGCAATGGTCAGCAGAATTCCTAGCATTCTTTGACAAGTTCATATCCATGCTCAGCTCGAAGCTCCCCTCAACACACTTCGATTCCCGCATGAGAATTGTTGCTGCATCTGATCCCTCTGGTCGTGGAGTTGGGACACTGATATCTTACCTGTTTCTAGATAAATCAGAGAAGACGTTTGCTTATGCTACTAGATTACTCAAATCAGCCGAGAGGAACTACTGCCAGGTTGAAAAGAAAGCCTTTTCAACAACTTTTGCTGTTAAACGATTCCATAAAATGCTCTATGGCTGTATGTTTAGTTTACTAACAGACCACAAACCATAAATTTCAATATTTAGTTGAAAAAAAGAAATACTTTTTTATGCGGCTAAAAGATCAAAGCACTGAGCGACAATACCTCTAAGCTATGACTTCAATATCAAGTATCGGTCAAGCCGATGCTCTGCCTCGATTGATTGGAGTGCAACACGCTGAATCAGAGGACATGATCACTGCTTCCATAGAAGTAGATCCATAAGTACGGAATGTATTAGTAAATGCCATTAGAAACAATCCAGTGTCGTCAGATGAAGTCAAAGAAGAAAATCTTCGAGACCGAGTTATGCAAGAAGGTAATAAGTTCCATCTAGAAGGATAGCCCTTCAAGATAATCTCTAGAAAGCTTCGACGCAGATAATCTCAATCAATGGTGACTGCCTTCTATTTGCCGAACGTGTCATCCTAAAGAAGCTGCAACCAGCAGTGCTTGAACATTTGCACGCAGGACATCCCGATATAAATTGGAGGAAGGTGCAAGCATGAAGTCATGTGTAATGGCTACTTTTAGACACCCAACTGGAGCAGCTATCCCATTCGTATATTAAATACGCATTAGCAAAAAAGCACGGCAGTAAACTGGGCTGCAATCATGGCCAATACCACAGTCATTGTGACGGTGTATACAACTGGACTGCGCTGGTTTACCTCACGGACAAACTTACATTTTGGTAGTTATTAAATACAGCAAGTGATCAGAAATTCTTTTTATGAAACATCCAACTGCAAGCTACACAGTTAGATAACTACGTCAACTATTCAGTCGTTTTGGGGTTTCAAAAGTAATAGCTAGCGACCATGGAACACAGTTTACGTCTACTATCTCGGAATTTTGTCGGCAAAACTAAATCAATCATGTCTGAACACCGTATCCCATCATCAACCCAATGGCTATGTCGAACGCTTTGTTGGCACATTTAAGAAACCAAATGTAAGAACCACTGAAAAGATTTCAGAGAGGTCCCTGCTCATCTATCGTTTTATGCAAAACCCTCAGACAATTAACGGGGTCTCCAGCAGAAGCTTTAGTATGCAGAAAAATACGGACGTATTTCGATGCCAGCTCTTGGGTCTCAACAAAACAGATCGATATCATGATACACAGATCACTGTATGGTCAAAAAGTACCTGCTACGGACTATCGTAGCACACATCTTACATAGATAGCTGGTCAAACCGTGTTAAAGAAAATAGATTTGGTTCAGTAAGTGTCAGTAGGCTAAGAATTTCGGGTGCTTCAAGCTTACCAGCTAAGAGCAACTTCGATCTCCAGCAACGAGACTCGCATAAAATACCTCTTGGTGTTCTGCTGGACACCTTTGAAATCAAAACCCCAGAAACGGACAGGCCAGTCTCTGGTGCCCCTTCTTTATTGCCTAGGAAGTGGATAAACCGAAAGCACAGATGGGCCCAAAAGAGTGGTGTTAGCGGAATATGGATTGGATTAAAGCATATTCTGTTCAAGATTGTGTTTGGAGCACACTGATTGGCTAGCGGATACTTGGGGAAGACTACAATCTTCTTGTGTATAATTATCAATACACTAATGTTCGTCTTATTGTGATTCCTACTTCTATTCAACCCTGTTTGTTTGGAATATAATTATGTTCCTGTTCGACTATGTTCTTATTTGTGGACTTGTCTAGTGAGGTAAAGTATCCAGGAATACCAAGCAATAAGAGCAGCTGAGTCGTAATAGGATAGAAGGTAAAAATCTCTGATGGATGTTAGTAATAAAACTTAGAATCATAAAAAATCACACCCTGGCGTATGATGTGATATGTGTTGTGTTTAGATTTAGTTACCGGCTCCTGAACAGGTCGAAAAATGTACCTTCATTCTACTGTTAGTCAGTGTCAGTGTACAGCTAAATCAGAGAATGAATGTTATATGGGGTGAGGTATTAAGAAGTTCCTTACCTTTTAGCGTTTCTTTTCAAATTAAGCTGCGCGTGAAAAAACGTGCACAAAATTTGTAGAGTTCATAATTTCGCTGCATCGGAAAGGGATCTTAAGTGATTGGGGATGACGAGTAACTGGATAAGAATGATGGAATTAGTCATAATCATGACACATCGACCGAATATTCTTGCAACCTGGTTGGGGTTACTAATTTAAACCATCACACGGTTTTAATCCTCACATCACTGACTGAAACAACAAGTTGTTTAACACATACTGCCGTCGACAACAAAATATTCTCGAACAGAAAGAGCGTGGATGGCTATCACCATTATGTATTACTTGGATTCAGTAGACGTTAAAATTTCCTTAACGACAGAGGTTAAATTTGGTTTAACACGATAAACTGACAACTACATTAAGGAAACATTTGCTCAGTAGATCTAGAAGATATATCTTTTTTTAGTGTTTAAATCCTCAGTGTTCCGTAAGCTAGTCAGTTTATTCTGATTCTCTGTGGAATAAAATTTACAGTAATAACTAAATCTTTAAACACAATAAATGCTAATGTTTTCAGAATTATAATAGTAGTATTTAAATGATACGATGTACTCTAAAACATTCTGAAAACCGTTAATTATTCTATGCTAAAGTCTTGATTTGAAAGTGCACGTAGCCTAATAAAGTACTTCGCAACAATGTAAAATAATTGCTATTTAAGATTTTATTGCTTATGAATAAAGTGACGAAACCTTAAATTACTTGTAAAATTTCGCATTTAAATTCTTGATTACTAAAATCCAGAGGTGTCAGTAGTTTCCTTTACAGCCTATGTATATATTTTACCTGTCGAATACTTTCTGGCAAATGCAGTTTCGTGATATTTTGGTGAACTTAAGTAACATAAATATTTTTCTCTTACAACTGAACTTATTCAGTTCATTACAGATTTTTTCAGTAAATTCATTTCTATAAGATCATATTAGTTACTGGTTTTGTATTCACATGCATTTCAGAAATTAGAACTATTTTCAGTTGGTGTTTAAAAAGTAAAAAGGTATACTCATAGCACACTCACCCCAGGTGTCCGTCGAATTGTAGTAGATTTTTGAGACGTTAACATTTGAGGGGAAACCTAAATTTATGAAAATATTCCTTGTTTATTATTCAAAGTTTAGTTTATGTGATTTTAACGAAAACCAAATGATTGAATGGAAGTAAAATTAGTGAACGCTTGTCAGCCGTTTCATCCCAATCTGGAATTGAGAAATCCTAAATTTGGATAAAAGTTGGCTAGTACACCTTGATTAAATGTTGCTATGGAAGTTTTGTATTAAGTATTAGAACACACAAACAATACATATTGTTGTGTTATTTCATTTCAAAACACTATGGATTGTCTATCTTGGTTACAAAATTGACTCCCAAAATGCTCATTTAACCAAGTATTACTTACCACTGATGTTTTATCGTGCAAACTAATGCAAGAGAAAAAACGTGGACACACAATATTTTCTAGATATTCTTTTTCAACAAGCTTTTCACCTCTGAAATAAAGCAAATAAACATTAATCAACTACAGTGATTATTACTGTTTAACTCAAGAACTATTATGATATATTCGTATTTGAAGTTTCTGTGTGGTTTACTTGGTGATCCAATTTTCTGATTACTTAATTTCACCAGGTATTTATTAATTTGAACTGATAGCTGCTGATATATAATGATGATATTCTAGAATGAAGAACAGGTCTCATGAATGTGGTAATAAATAAAAATATAATTCCAATATTTCGTATTACAGTATACCACAGACTTTTCTTTTCAGAAATGATACATTTTAACTATCTAAAAAATTCCCATTATATTCACAGACTAATATATGAACGAAAAATATTCTTTTCAATAAATTCTCTTCAAATTCTTCAATTATATTGAGAATAACAGTTCAAAAACTGGGCAGATCTAAGGCAAAATACATTGTCTAAAAGTATGGCATGTGAAATAAAATTGTTAATGCTGAGGTGACTAATATGCAATGTTAACTTGAATAAGCTTACACGTTAAATGAAATTGTGAGATTAATGATCAGAATAAATATGGGTCAGATAGGATGAGAGAATAATTTAATAACAAATCCAATCAAATGTTTAGTGTATAAATCATACATTTACTTATCCGATTTTATGGATACTCCTAATATGTTGCATATCTGATGAGCAATGTAGAGGATATTTTCAAGTGTCATCAAAACTCCGAAAAAATCTCAACCTTTGGTTTCTATGTGAGCTTATCATTAAGAAAACGTCTTACCTTCGCGGTCCTGCTCCTTTAATAACTTGCTCCTTGATTAAACGATTAAATAATCCACGAGCCACGGTATACTCTACTCCAAGACTTCTAGCTATAAAAGCGGGTGAGACTGAATCTTCGTTGAGACACAGTGCTAATACACGTCGAAAGAGACAAGTGGCCTGGAAATATTTGAAAATTACTTATGGTTTTTACACAAACTTGACATATTTATGGAAATAAATCTGCACTTACCATTATCTTATCAATTTACTGAAGTTATTTGTGATTTTAGCACTTAAGAACCTGTGAAAAACTTCATTTCTAGTTATATACCACTTTCTAAGTCTAAAACAAGAAGTTAAAAATTCTACACAGAATTAAGCTCAAACGTCTTGTTGTAAGAGATGAAAAATTGTACCGCTGGATACTAATGCACTTCCTAAAACGTCAAATAGAAGTCCACATTTCAGCAGTAAAACTGAACTTGTTATGAATACAGTTTGTAATTCTGAAGTATTGTTTAGGTTTGCCAAAAAGAGGACAGCTTATTTTACTTCATTGAATTCCTTTTATATTCATAATCGCATACTCATTAGAAGAAAAATTAATAACTATCCTTTTTTCATCTACGATACAGTTGTAGAAGTCAGAATAACTTAATTTTTCCAAATTACCTTTTCTACTTATATCAACGCATTACTAACTGACTGTTATCTTTAAATCTCATCAACACAATTAATTACTCAGAAACATGTATTTACTTCAGAATAGAGAAGACTAAATGTTCACTATTTTATAGCGTATACCTTACATCGGACCTAAAAGACAAAACAAAACATTTAAACTATGTATTATGGTATTAGATCTATTCACTTTTTGAAACTTTGTAGATAAATATAAGATTGCAATTTAATAAAGTTAGCAAATTTCATCTATTCAAGATACTAATACTAAATCCCATTCATAGTTAAAATGAATTTTGGATTAAAAGTAAAGAATGTGTGGTGTTTTTCTACCGTCTCCTAAACTGTATTGTTGAATCCATATTACAACCTATGAGAGTTAATTTTAAAGTTCAGTGAAAAATTAGATAAAGGTAAATACAAATGTTCACAAATCAATCTCATAAGATTTAGTCTAGTTGATAATAAATTATGTGGTTCTTATACCAATAAAGTTTCCCATCCACTAGATTTTACTTGTCAGATTAATAATTCGCTTAAATGCCTTTTATGGGGGAACTCAATGGCTATAAACAAACGATAAGATGAATGAAGTTTGCATCCAAAATTTACTAATTGGGATTCCAGTTGATTACAGAAAAATATAGTTTTCTGGCTAAAACTGTCAGATCTTCAGTTGACTGACTTTAACAGTCCCAATATTACTTTTCAGAGGAAATTAGGATACCTAGGGACATTTATTGATTAGTTTGAATATATATTTACCTCAATCCACTCAAGACGACATTCATAAATATGTTAATGGTTTCTCGTTAAAATATAAGACAATAATTAATCCTTTGATATAATACACGTTTAAATCTGCTTCCACGTAGTTCTGTTTCACATTATCTAACACTCATCTATGTGTTTCCCGAAGATAAATCAAATCTATATTGATCAAACTGATATGTTTATAAAAGGCAGGTATAAATACACAAAGACTAAGTACTATTAGAAATACTACAATTGATTAATAACAAGACATTTGTGTTTAGACAGAGAATAGAGGATACTATAACTGATATATTAAAACTCATTTCAAATGGATATACTACATTGACTATTACTCTATTAATCGAAAAATAAAGAAATAAACCTGTATAGTCTTAGGTATGTTTGTTGTGATTTTATTCACTCGCAAATCTAACTGCCTATCCATTGTGTCACTGAGAAGCTTCAAAATAAGAGGTCTATGTTAGTTAATGTTCTCTCTCAAATTTATCACCAATGTTTTTGAAGAAAGCTCGATTATTATTTTGAAAAATTATGAGAAATCATTATTTCTCTACAAAACATCCAATTTCAGTAAGACATTTCGGATATTGATGTCAATCATTTTAAAGTGTTACAAATGTGCGATGAATCATTTGAAACGTTCCAGAAAGACTAAATGAACACTTTTTTCAACCCATTATTAAAAATGAATAAATACTTCTTATGAGCAAAACAAAATTTGTCACTTAAAATAGAGAGTCGGCTATATTGTAAGAATACGACTGCCGATAACGAAAGAGAATTTTTATTTGTCCTTATTTGATGATGGATTTTAATGTGATAAAATCCAATGATAAATTACACTCTTGTAACTGAATATTGATGGTGTTGTTAACGAATTACTAAACTGGTTCGTTTGAATAATAGATTATTAATAAATAAATGAACTTTTACATCTTAGTTCATTTTCTAATTATTATTGTTAGCTTTCGGAAGTAATAGGTTTACTGTTTATAGATCTACTGTTAAAATAAATGATCATACTAGACAAAGCTTTTTACTAGGCCACTTTGAAAATAACCAACTAAAAATAGACTAATCAGTTTAACAAACTACCTTTCTAGCTTCAACGCCCAAATTCTGAATAGTTTCATCTGTGATTCCTCCGGTTTGAAGAAGTTCAGGCTAAATGATTCAACAAAAGTAATTTCAAAGTTATAATAACTTAAACTATACTATTTTTGTCATATATATATGAAAAATAGATTCTAGTTACACACGTTTAAAATCATAGAAATCATTCATATGAGGGGTTTACAGGTGGTCGATTAATAATTTTTGAATTCCTAAGGTATATACCTTTGACGATCGTCAGTGAAGTAGTAGTATTTTTCAGCATGAGCAAGGAGACTGTACTGAAGTAAAATCTCGATTTTTTATCTTAATTATACTCATATCTTTATTAGAGAATATTTGAATTCAACAACAGGATAATTCAAACCCATTCTAATAATGATATAAATATAATGCACGTTGAACAACTGAATGCCAACTAGATTCAGTAGCTCAGTGTGTAACCCCTTTTTCCCTTTTGAGTCTCTATCTGAGTATCAACGAGTCCTGGATAGAATAAAATGCACGTTCAGGACTCCACTACAAGCAAAACATTTCTCAGTATAATTGATCCTAATAGAAATTAAGGAACATTTATTAGCTGCATTTTTAAAACATCTATTAGTTTATTTAAAGTATCACCACTTCCACAGACTTGTAACAACGTTTTATAGCTTTCATCTGCTAATAAAAAGCTCTTCGCATAGTACTTTACGCTATCTTTTTAAAATATTTAACTTATCATTTATTTTACAACTGAACTTACAATTCCAGTACTAAATTTTCACACTGAAAACAACATCTTAAAAATTGGATTCGGTGTTTTAACACTTTCAACTAATGTGGAAAACAGAGGGCTAGAATTCTTTTTTTATAGTTAGATATTTTAAACTGAACTGAATAAAAAATAATTATATGTTAGTTAGACTAACATTCAGGTAGTGCAACTATATCCATAATTTTTCCTGAAGTAGACCTTGTACTCTGTATATTCTAGACGTAAAACTAGTTAGCCATAAATGTTTTTTAAGTGTAGAATAATTCAAAAGTTGCTTCTTTTCACTCAAGAAAGTCAGGTAAGTTTTAGCGCAAGACAAATTGTACAGGCACGTTTATTTGTTCAAACGTACCACTTTCTTACTGAGTGCAAACTGTGTCATCAAAATATTGATCGTATCAACAAATGTTTGCAAAGCGAATAAAAATGGTTTCATTTACTTGAAAAAAATTAATAGGTATTACCTTCAATTTAGCGCAGATCTCACAAATATGTGATGTAGGAACGTTTCCTTCTTGTAGAATTCGAAAGCAAACAGCATGCTGCCATTTATCACATCCATCACATAAAATCATCACACCATCGTCCTAAAAAAATCAAAACCTTTTTCGTTTATAGAAATTTCGTTTTAAAGTATTATAACAGGACAAAATATAACCAAATAAGTTGTATACATGTATCTTCACCACATACTTAGAAAAACTGTAGTTATTAACGTCCAATATTCTTTTAGTAAATTAAACAGTTTATCAAACTTCATTATAATTAAACACTAAAATTTCTCCTAACGTAATAATAATAATCTTTTAATCCTAACCATTTTTTATGAACCCTTTACAATAAAATCTGCCTAAGTGTGAAATCACTTACTGTTTTACGATAAAACGTATAACTATACATTTCTAATTATTCTCGTCAATCAGGGAACTTCTATAATCAGTTACATTTCTATCTTATACAAATCGAATATGCTAATCAACTTTTGTAGTAGTAAAAACATTCTGTCAGTCACGATACCATGTATCGGTTGGCATAATTACTAGTCTTGAGAAATACCAAATCACAAAAAATTGAAAAGCGATTGCACTTCATAAAAAAAATCTGATTCAACTGACCACTCTTTGGATTATCGAACTAAATGAAATTTAATTCAGTATGAATTACAATATGTACTTATCTTGTCGAAACCAAAATAATCTAAATCTATTTGCTTTTTTCTGGTGAAACAAATCAAAAACAAAATGGTAATACCAAGCATAAAAGTTGTAATCCAATGCATATGAACAGAGAAATTCTCAATTCATAAAAAAAAAGTTTTAGATTAAATAGGTTTTAGTTTCAAAAAACCTAAATAGATTTTTTTTTAAATCGTATTGATATATATTTTATTTACCAGCGTATATGCAAAAACTAAGTGAAACCAATCCTTTAACTTTATAATCTACCTGCTTGAAAAGTAGAGATAACAAAAATAATAACTACTTTGGAACTCAAGTGTCTTCTCATATTTCGTTTTCTTTAAATTTTCTTTAAAATGTGACAATCTTATAAACAGAATGGGTTTTGTGGAGAGTTTTAGAAACTTCACAGGTTCAAATCATGAGTCGATTGAAACTAGACCACCATGGAAAACCTGGAAGCACTGGACGGCCGTTTCGTCCTAGGATGGGACTCCTCAGCAGTGCGCATCCACGACATTAACACCGTTCGATGCCGGCTCAATTGTTTAGTGGTTAAGTGCTCGCGCGCGAAGCCAGTAGGTCCTGGGTTCGAGCCCCGCGTGGTGCGGGGTCGTGGATGCGCACTGCTGAGGAGTCCCATATTAGGACGGAACGGCCATCCGGTACTTCCAGGTTTTCCATGGTGGTCTAGCTTCAATCGACTCATAATTTCAACCTGTGAAATCTTATAAACTTTATATGATAGAAAAGAAAGATTCAATGAGTAACATGACTTGAGAAATTTCATAATAAAATGAAGTTAAATAGATGCTATTTAAGCCAAGCAGAAGTTCCTACTACTTAAAAGGGAAAAAGGATTCATTGAAATTAAATATTGTCATAATTTAAACGAAATCGTTTCTGATTTTTCTTTTAAATAACCAATACAAATCCCTAGAACCTTTGCATTGGTTGCTGTTGTAGATAAAAGCACTGTAGAAAGAGTTTTTAATTTGATAGTTTAGTGGTGTGAATAAATTTCATTCAATTTTTGTACATTTCTAGGTTTGTAACGGTTGTTATATTTAGTGGAATAACTCTCACTATTTTCGTTTTCAGTTAATATTTGTATAAAATTAAATCCATAAACCTGTGTATTTTAAGTGGATTGGCAAAATGTTTCAGCATGCACTTCGAAATGTCACAACACAGTGCAGTCAATTAGTGTTACGAACGGTAACTTACTCTGAATAACTTGCTTAAAAAAACATTCTTGGAAATAGGTTAATTAAATTTTTATTTTTATGCTAAACTGATCAGCTTTTTTAACTAGAAGACTGTACACGATACAACCCAAGATATAAAATTTCAAATAAGTCTTGATCAGTATTATTCGTCAATTATACATTTAGTAACACGGTCGAAATTTATTTACAAATTAAGTAGTGGTTACCTCAGTAATACGAAAAAACGTCGGACATCAAGGCTTATTCCAAATAATTGAAATTTATCACTTCATAAGAGATAGCGAAGTAATATTTCAATATTTTTTACTTAAATAAAACCAATTTCGGTCAGAGAAAATACACCTAGCTATGACGCGTAACCAGTTAGACTGACGACTATACTTTTAAGTATATGTAGATCATTTGGGATTTTCTGTATGACACTTAGACTACTGAAACAAAATATACGAGGGAAGCAATGTGACTCAAATTCTATTAAAGCAAAGTTAGTGACTACACACTTCGAAGTGACCACAAATATTACTATTGACAAACTAGCAATATAAATGTATGCACTTAAAAGAATATGATCCCCTTAGATATTCGTCAAGTTAGTCATACACAACTTAAGACTTGAAACAAATATAAGTTTGCCCGAATTCCTACAATTTCTACCAATATAGAAGGAATGAACTAGCAAGATACAAATCGGATAGGTCGGAGTATTAAGGTTAGTAGTGGAAAAAAAGCAAAAACATTTGGTTTGAAAATGGTAAGTAAAATCGAGAGATGAGAAATACAAAGTTCTATCACAACCCAATACTTAGCGGAAAAGGGACATTGAATTCAAATGAACCCCTACAAATAAATTCTAGTCGTGTCGTTTAAACTCTTTAATCGTAGAATCCAGTGGTCTCTCAGACTCCAATCGGAAGTAAGTTAAGAGAGTTAAATTGTGCTAACTTTCTTTAACCTTCCGTTTGAGGTCGTTATAAGATGTTAATGTTACTTTTATGGTTCGATGAATATGATAAGCTAGCACGTGATGGACACAGTTTAATATTGCTCTGTGTCAATCTCATTCTTTCATAAATATATAACTGACACATTGATCTTCTAACTGATCTCTCTAGGGATTTCCTGTAACAACTTTTCTGTGTCCTGTGATTCACAGACAACGCAAAATCGCTCAAAAGCGTCATCAGAGTCCAGATATGTGCTCCAGATATAATGACACCTATTTATCGAATATCTTCATGGATGAAAGACAAGGGTGTGATCTGAATGTAGTTTAGTCGATTTTATCGGTTACTAGGTCAGATAATTTCTCACTTCATAATCGAGGTTGATCCCCTTTAACTGAGAACAAGTTTCTGAAGATACTTGCAACAGATGACGTCGACCTTTTCAAAAACGAGGCCGAAAGCCATGCTTTGACTTAACCTGATTATTTGCGCGTTAAAGCGATGTTTTCCCTTTACTTCTGAAGTCTTATTGATTACTTTAAGAAGAGGTAAAAAGCGATCATTGGCTGGAATCCACTTAAGAAAAACCTATACTGCTTTTGAACTTAGTGATATACATACACCAGTAAATTAATAAACATTGCAGTCAAGTATTTATAAACTCGATGGTCGAACCACACTGGTATCCCACATCATGAGATGAAGTCGTGTTAATAAGCAGACTTTGCGCTAAGTGCAAGATTAGAAGACACAGATTTTCAATGACAAGGGATAATGAAATCGTAGCTGATGAACGCTTTTGTTCGATCAGACATCAAAAGTTTTGAACTGCGGTTTGAGACGTAGTGTTAGAACGAGTAACAATACTTTGTGGACTTCAGCAGATCACAGTAGGGACTAATGCGAAGAAAAATCAAACCAGGTGGGGAGGGTTAACAACATAAATACTAAAGGTATCATGAAATGATCAAATGAGTTTCATGGTGACAAATGTTTTTTGAAACGAGGTCAATTAACACTCCTCGGTTGTAAAAACAATAATTAGATTTGAAATGGTAAATATTTTGTGATTCATACAAATAAAATTATTCCTAAGTAATTACGTACTGAATTCTTGGATTTATACAAAAACATTAACGTTGGTCGATAACTATCTTCACGTTAAAATTCCATCGATGTGGATAAAACGTTTTTGGTGTGTTACTTCAGCCAGAAGTTTATCGTAATTTTTGACTTTTAGATTTCATTATTGTTCACTTACCTTATTTACTCCACATGGGCAGCGAGCTTCATAACTTTCTAATTCATTTTCATCAGATCTTAGTGTTTGTTGTTGAAATGATAAAGTGAGGTCATCGTTTTCATTCACTTTACTCGCATTCAGAGAACCTAACTGTAAAGACAATGGAAATATAGACTAAGATACAGTCTATTTGTACAGTGTATTTTCCTTAAAAGCTGGTCGACCGTTTTATGTAATATTTGGGGCTTTCTCGCATTTTATAAAAAACATCCATCCCATTGTTTATTCTTTGAATAACTTAACAACGTTTAACTTAGTTGTTGTTAGAAACTTCCTTGCAAATGTTTGCTAACTTATATCGTTAGTTTAGTGCTACTAGACCAATTCAAAAATAAGATTCTTTTGATATCCTTCCCTGGTTACGTTTAGACGAATGAACTCCATTTAAACTTTTTCATTACTTCAAACTGACAACTATTCTAATCAGTATGAGGTAAAACCAACAAATTCCATATATTTAGCTGAACAATAGGAGAACTAAGGCCCAGTTTGTACATTTTACCTGTAAATGGACATGAATCAGAAGTAGCATTAGAATCAAGCTTCAATGACTTGAGTTCTTGCAAATTACATAATCTGTACGACATACATTAGTTTACCAATTTTCAAGTGATATGTGGAGATAGGCATGACAAACTTATTTTGTAAATAGTTCTTGATGTTGTTTGTATTTATTCTGTTAGTTTTTACAGTTTGTATATCTACCACAAAATGATTGTACATGTTGTTTAAGTGTATGACCCTGAACACACTTTCTTCCACTGTTACACGCATAGCATGACACACGCTGTTAACTGCTAGCAAATACACTACTATACACACACCTCTCGTTCTCTATTGCTCGTGGTTGTGATAATTGAACTCTCAGTCATCTACTGTCTACGTTTATAGACTGCAACCACATTTATATTATATTCTACGTTTGGCTATATCACTGGAAGCACAACAATCTTATTAGAATCATTAATCATCTATAATTGTGGATTCTGGTACCAAACGCAATCTGAGCACACACAAGCCAGCTGACTTAATTAACGCCCACAAATTTTTCTTGTTTTTATAACGTATAACTGATATTTTATAATACTACTGTTTGTACGCAACAAATTTATTACTATTTTAAGCCCATATATTGTTTGGTCCACCATAGATATATGAGTTGAAACAATTTATAACTATTTTTTCAGGTAATTAGTTTGAAGTCTGGACACACAGTTGTGCTGCTAGTTTGTTTGTAGTTGTTTATTCACAAACTATCATAATTTTTATTGACCTCTTTCAAAGTCTTCATTTTGAACCGATGAATTTCATCAAATTGCATTCCTATTTCAATAATTTCTATCTAATCCTTCAAAGGATCCAATTTATTGTCATACAGTTTAAAAGTGAACAGTTCATTTGGACATTTAAAATGTACAAATCATTTGAAATAGAATAAGTTTGTGTACGAATAACTGTTTAAGTTTACTGTGTCATGTTATCGCTCTATTATCTATTTATATTAATTATGATGTCATCTGACAACTGCGCAGTAGACTTTGTGGTTCATCAGGTTTTCTGATTTCATTTAATCAAATGAATTGACTACAGTTTACACACATAAGCAGATGCGATTCAAATCTTGAGTTGTACTGTCAAATTCCTAAATTATTTTCATAGCTAAATGCCGACAAAATACTCCTAATAGTTTGTTTCCAATCAAGCTTCAAATTCTAAACTAAACTTGGACGTCTCTAAAAAAAAGAAACCTTAGTTTTATGATTAAAAAAGCAAAGTCCCGTTGAATTGTTTAATTCATAATACGAATACTGAGTAAAATGATAAAACTAACCGAAAGTTCATGGATGCTCTCATCTTCTTGTGTTGATTTAGTAGATTTTACAGATCCGGCTAATAATCGTCGACTAGTCTGTATGTGCATTTTGATGCTACGGCAACTTCTCTTTATGAAATAACACATACCTGTGGTGAGCCTGGTAACATAATGTTAGTTCAGTAAAATATGTTAACATACAGTTTTCACATTACCGAGCCGTATATTAATGTTATCTTCTTCAAAGTTGAAAATGACATTATCTGCATGCTTGAATCCAGGAGGAACGTAACTCTCTGGAGTAACTAAAATTACAGCATAGATTGCATGTATACTGATAATTAATTTTGTGGTTCAATTATATACTTTGCTCACTGTTTATTTATTTATTACTTTATTAACAACTAAACATGTCTTTTAGAACTAGCAATTTAAACTTCCTAAAATCTATCACTCAACCACGTAAGCTTAGATCAAAATTCATCTCATAATAGCTTACTGCTTTCATATAACGAAAATCTGATTCTATTTTTGAGCGTTTTACATAACTATTTGGAGTTATTTTATTTTATTTTTCATTGACTGCTTGTAGTCAGGTGAATAACTCAAAAAGATCTTTCGTACAAAATGACGGTTTATTTTGTTTATGATTGAGGTTAATTTTAGCAACTCGCCACTCGTCTTTGCATTCAATTAAGATTTTAGGCTTAATTTTATTACTCCAACTTATAATTAGTTGTTTAAAAATTGTTTACTTTTTTATCAGTTACTGGTTGTGTCATACCAACCTTACAAACAATGACCTAAGGTCACGTGGTGTTTTACTGTGACAAACAGCAACACACATATAACTAGATTCATCATTAAGTACAACAAAGCTCGCCAACGAAGCCCATACAAATTAAAAAGCAAATAGTGAAGTAGTGGAATCTAGAAAGAAGTCGTTGTTGAGTGAAACTCCATCTCCATATAAAGATGGCTAATAACATTTGCATGCTTGAGTCTTTTGCTGGGACTGTTATCTCATTTCGAATAGGAAAATACAAATGGAGGCGCACAGCTTGGTATATAAGTTATCAAATAACTTACTGCCTCATATTTCGGTCTATTATTTCGTGATTTATGATATTTACGTGATGAAATTTTGTGATTGACACTGAATACTTAAATATACCGTCTTTGAAATGTTTTATTCTAGTCCGTTTTTATAAAAAACCTGATCACAGCTTTTAAATGTCCAGCCTCCTTATTCCATCAAATTCATCTCGACCAACAAAAGGCCATATTTTTAATATTTGACATGCAAAATACTACCAGTTTTTGCACTAATGGCAAAAAAACCATCTTTTAAAAAATCACTCACGTCATTGTTACTACCGACATCACATGCACACACAACATGAATCTTTTTAAACTAATGAATACACAACTTTTAAATACAGTGTTTTGGAATAAATAGAAAACAACGGGTTAAATGAGACATATACTCATGAAAATAACCATTTAAATATTAGACATTTTACCCATATTACTAAACATGAATGTAAAAAACCCAATCAACAAATTCTTAAAGCACATTAGCGAAGTGATTAAGCCTTGTGCTACCAACTCAGTTTTGAACCAATCTGACATATTATATGCTGTTATGCCGTGACTACAGAAGTTATTTGTTTCACATGCAACCGCCTTTGAAACTGTACATCACGGATATAAAAATAAGAAACGCTTTTGTATGTTCCAGGCGTGTAGCATGATATTACGACCATAATGTGACGCAAGCGGTAAGACGTTTTTTAAAAAGTGGCGAGTAGTATGACATTATATTCACAAGTCTTTCCTCAGGTTTTTGATGAAATATTCAGTGCTACAATTTAAAACAAACCAAGAACGACTCCTTCTAAAACATTTTATCTGACCTTTGCTTTTACACTGACGTCAGCAGATTAGCGCGAGTATATTTGTTTGAAAACTATTACGTTTCCAGTGATGTGATGGCAACAACTACTGTAATCCCGTTTCTAGCAAACTGTGAATTAACAATATATGATGCAAATATTTTCACATCTATTTAATATTTGTTCCTCAAACTAGGAAATTCAAAACATAAATCACGAAAGCTCAATTACCTTGTCATCTTTTTAATCATTAATTTCAATCAGTGTACTTGTTTTTGGAAATAATAAATACAGACCTTGAGTATTTTTTATGTACCCAAGGTTAAAAGTTTCTGTAAAAATTCCGGTCTAGAATACGCCGTTTCATGATTAAACTGGGTTCATCTGCATTTGTGAAGTCAAAAACGGTATTTTCATATCATTGTTAATCTTAAACCTTCAGATTACTGAGTTTCAAGATCGACTCAATATTTTGAAATGAGTAAATCTTGTAAGTAAACAAAAATAAAAGATGTCAGCAATATTTAAAATATCAACCTTGGAAGTCAACAAAGCTTTCTAAAAAAAACGGTTACCTTCGTCGTAATACTGCAGTTTCATCGTTATCATTAGTTCCGATGGTAACTTGGATAATCTTTCTCCAGCAGTTCGAATATTTTTGAGTAGATTCAAAGTAGCATTCCGTACTTCAATTTCAGAGCAGTTTGAGATCTCGCATATAGTGCTGGGTTCTCTTTTGTTTTCAGTTTTTAAATCAAGTGATAGCTTCTCCTGGCCATAAGAAAGTCTGAAACAATAGGACTCAATGATGTTATATTCACAAATTTTGCTGGGATGTGAAGCTTTGTCCGACAAATAAAGCGCGATGGTCGCTGATTTAAGCTAGACAAAACTTTATTCTGTATTGCTTAATAGACCTACAAAATGACGGTCGATGGCATCGAAACAACCCTTAAGCCAATAAACTATTTTTGAAGAAGCAGGTAAGATAGAGCTTTCTTTCAAAATCTTTAGCTCGATTCCTGAAATTGAGTAATTTGATGCTGTTTTATACCTTCCAGTTGTTTGTCATGAAAAGCGGATTCAGGAAAAATATCCCTGAAATACAAAACATAAGATACCGCAACCGCAAACAGCTTTTTTATAAAAACCAGGGACTGGAGTTCGACTCCTAGTTCATTAGGAAACATTTTTGACCACTATCAAAGAGATGATAAGGAAGCCGAAGTTTACATTTCCAACATTCTGTTTAACTGCTATAGCTGTCGCCATTGTACTGCCAGCGATAAAACGTTATCTCTTACGAAAACGCAGCACTGGAAGATATTTAAAACAAACCTTCATACACCACTCATAACAATAGCGATTGAGCTAAAAATGAGTTAACTGCTTTGAAAATGGTCTCTTCTGAATTTTAGTTTCTTTATAAGGGTTTAGATTTGTGGTAACGTCTTACCTTCAGCCACGCGATGCATAAATGGAAAACCCTGAGCCATATTTTACATGTGGTGGTTTTTAATCGTTTAGTAGAGAGTCTCTGAGTCTAAAATTAAGCGGAAGATAAGAAGCAAATAGACTGGCAGTAAGTTCACTAATTCACAAATAAAATCCTAATATATGATCTCTCATTGTTTTGCCATTTGATTATAGAATAGGTCCGCATAACTTGTTATTCCTTAAGGCATTTAGGAAGCTCACCGTTGTTCGAATTCATTATTCAGGCTTCAAAGGGTATTTTAGGTTTCAAGTTTTCATCGAATCTTGTTTTATTTGGTAAAGTTTAACAATAATAACAACTCTTGCTAGTTTACTTCTTATCAGCTCTAAACACTCATCTAACTCATAACTAAAGTTGTTTCATATTTTGACATGAATTTGTTTGTTTCTTCCTAAATCCTTTTTATTTGGTTTGCCGCTTCACCAGGAAACGCAATGTGAGTTCACTTTATGGCTTTAATATTTAAACCACAACTAATAAAAATCTCCTCAGGGTACTGTTCAGTTCTTGATTTTTTTGAAATTCGTCGTGAGGATAAAACCAGGTACACCTGACCGAACATCCGTATACACGTCTTGTGTAAATTGAGTCACTGCTCTGAGTTTTCTCTTGTTTCCGTTAGTTGTAGTTTATGTTTTGTACTAAAAGATGTGGTAGTATGATGATATCAATTTTTTTAGAGAAATATCTGTCGCTATTTATGACTTCCTGTAGCCTATGTGACAGAGAACCTCGTAGTAGCTGCAATACATTGGAAGAAGTGGTACTGAAAAATATATGCCTGCAAAGATTACTACAAAACGAAGTAATGGCCAAAATATGGTTAACACTTGCAAAAAATGCTTTCGGTAAACTGAGCTCTCTTTAAAATTAGTCATCAGGAGTAAATTCGTGATCGTCAGTCCCAAACGTCTTAGCACATCGACTGAGAACATCATGATGGTAATTAATATGAATCTCCCAGGTAGAATTTATTATCACAGGCACTGTGCTATTTCCCAGAATAACGGATGCACTGAGATCTGGATAGTCAGTTTAAAATATCATTGAAATTGGTAGCTTACAATTAACGTAAGTTTGCTTACCTACCTGCACAGTTTAATGTGTCTATATCGCGAAGTGTGACTGAAGAATTAGTCATAACTCAATCATCATTACACAAAACAGATCTACGCGTGCTAGATCTTGGATTGAATTGCGTAGTGACTAGTAGGTTCTCAAAAGAAATAGCTTTATAAACATTCGATGTTGATGCTGATCATGTTATTTTAGTGGACCTTACCACCAGCTGAAGTCATTCGGTCAAGATTTTTTCTTAGATTACGTCTAGATACATCATGGGGCGGATTTCCTCCGATAACGTCTTAAAGTACATCCACACATATAGTTACTCCTGCCTACCGCCAACCATCCTATCACATTTTAATTGGTCATGGGGTCATTTTGTCTAAAGAAATTCGAAAAATTCATCCAAGGATTTCTAATGAATACCATGGTCTGTACGCTTCTCATCATTGTTTTTTCTAGGTAGGCTTTGTAATACGAAGCAGTTGACCATGTGCAACTGAAACATGATACTGGCAATGCACAATTTTTATGAGTACATACCTCTTCAAACTATAACTGCACAAACATTTATCCTAACGTCATATCTTACTGCAATAATAAGTTAATTTTTCTTAATTATTTTGTATTTTCTATTTTTTTTACTAATTTGACGGTACATACATAGTCGTTTATTCCTGTTCTGTGTTCATAAACACGCCTATTAAACTATTTGCGTATTTCACGTCTCCTTTATTTCTATTCCCTTTTTCTCTATTTCCTTTTTTAAACTCAATTCAATATTCTTGTCAATTACACAGACCTGATTTATTATTATTAATATTCTACTATTATTACTCTATTTTTTTAAATATGGCAAGTATAATACTAACATTATTGAAACTTGTGTATTATTGCATTTTTGAAGAAACCCAAAATGGCGTCTTCACAGCACTTATGTGCCCATAAGATGTTTGTGAATAATAATAATAATAAACTTATGCAAATCTTTTGAGAAAGTCATGAACTCCTTTGAGTTTAAATCTGAGAGTATAAGCCGATGTCTGCTTAATTAACATGTCCACCGAAAACCATCACAATTTGTTCTGTGATGCAGGATTCACGTGTTAAATGAGTCACGAAAAATTTCTGCTTTAAAGACAATTTTTTTGTTGTGCCTGGATATAGTATATCGGCTAATCTGTCTCTTCAGTCTCTGCCAAAAAAAGTAATTTTAAAACCTTAAGTGACTTATGAAATCCTAATGATCTTAGTGTCTTCATGAGGAGTTGGATGGCATAACTGACAGTTACATATTTACTATTTAAATGCCGACGAAAAATGCTAAGGATCAACAGTACTGAAACGTAGTGGATGAAAAACGGCTTGAGTCAATGAAACATAACGCGCAGAGATGAATAGACGGCATAATTTGGCCTGTGAAGTAGTGATTATGTTCCTAGCACTTTTTATCCTGCTCTCTTGAAAAAACTGAAAACATAGGATGAACTGCACATCAGTTCGAAGTGAACTAATCCAGCGCGCCAACACAGTGTGATTTTAGCATAGGGGCATGTAATTTAGTCAGTTTCATCATTCTGAAAGTTACGAAGCCTTTTATTATTTTTAGTTTTAATTAAGGTCTCTTACGTTTATTCTTTATCTTCCATTAATCATCACCATAAGTGTGCTGACCAGTATTCACAGGTATTGATATAACAATAATGAGGGAGATATTTAGGTTACTGGTTACTAATGAGACATAATCTAAGTATCTGGGAGCTCGAAATATTTACGATTCCACCATTCGAAAGCACAGAATATTGTATTCAGCAAAGCTTCTTAGGGAGTCCATGGAGTACCCTAAACGCTTATATTCATAAATTAACCAGGGGAATAAGAGAAAATGTAGAATCCCAGCACGATGATAAAACAGTATTAATACATCACTAGAGGGGAGCGATCATGGTAAATTCCAGGTATCCTCAAATTACTTTAAAAATGTATATACTGTGAAGATGCTCCTCCTCTCGATTCATACAACTTCCTCCATACGCACTCTGGACAGTGACTCCTAATGAACTCGATGTTTTGGGTCTGCTAAGTATGCTTAATTTAAGTAAATCGGTGGTACCCGATGAAACGCATTCCAAGTTGTTGAAGGAATTAGAATATTTTTTCTCAAATTTACTAAGCATATGTTTAAATAAATGTCCGCAACCCAGGGTTGATTACCAAAAGGCTGGAGGAATGCTATAGAAGTCGTACCTTTAAAACAGAGACGAGACATGAATCTAAGAATTATCGTTCAGCAAGCCTAACCAGTCTGGTTGTTAAAATTTTAGAAAAGCTTTTTTGGAAAAAGTTATGTAAGTATCCAGACAAAAGGCGGATCCTTTCTGGAGAGCATAGTGCCTTTAGAACAGATAATTCTTGTTTCACAGACCTAATAATAGCCCATGAAAGTTTATACGCTCTTAAGGATCATCGGCGGCCTACGTTTACAAACGTAGCTACACCGCCACCACACCTCTTTTTATTGTTCGATCGATCCTGACGATAAATTTTAAAATCACGTGTTGATACAAGGCAGTCATCCTATGAATCATTCAACCAAGATAATTGAATTGTGATGACACCACAATTACGATACCTATTTTGACTATGTAGGAATTGCAGATAGACCACTTTGTTGATTAGTGATCGGCAGTTAGAATTTCGCAGCACGGGAATCGACATACGATTAATGTTCATTCTCTTTAACGCATATTGCCAACCACCACGATGCCTTTTATAGTACTTTTTCGTAACTTGTGCAGCGAAAGGTCGTAGGCTTTTCATAAAAGCGCCTGATAAGGTTATGCGACTAATGGACATAATTATAAATTAAAACAAATGAAAAACAGGTAACTTGTTGAAATAATCAGATGGCAGAAACAGGTAGCCCAGATATTCAAGCAGGCCGCCGATGATCCTTAAGAGCGTATAAACTTTCATGGGCTATTATTAGGTCTGTGAAACAAGAATTATCTGTTCTAAAGGCACTATGCTCTCCAGAAAGGATCCGCCTTTTGTCTGGATACTTACATAACTTTTTCCAAAAAAGCTTTTCTAAAATTTTAACAACCAGACTGGTTAGGCTTGCTGAACGATAATTCTTAGATTCATGTCTCGTCTCTGTTTTAAAGGTACGACTTCTATAGCATTCCTCCAGCCTTTTGGTAATCAACCCTGGGTTGCGGACATTTATTTAAACATATGCTTAGTAAATTTGAGAAAAAATATTCTAATTCCTTCAACAACTTAGAATGCGTTTCATCGGGTACCACCGATTTACTTAAATTAAGCATACTTAGCAGACCCAAAACATCGAGTTCATTAGGAGTCACTGTCCAGAGTGCGTATGGAGGAAGTTGTATGAATCGAGAGGAGGAGCATCTTCACAGTATATACATTTTTAAAGTAATTTGAGGATACCTGGAATTTACCATGATCGCTCCCCTCTAGTGATGTATTAATACTGTTTTATCATCGTGCTGGGATTCTACATTTTCTCTTATTCCCCTGGTTAATTTATGAATATAAGCGTTTAGGGTACTCCATGGACTCCCTAAGAAGCTTTGCTGAATACAATATTCTGTGCTTTCGAATGGTGGAATCGTAAATATTTCGAGCTCCCAGATACTTAGATTATGTCTCATTAGTAACCAGTAACCTAAATATCTCCCTCATTATTGTTATATCAATACCTGTGAATACTGGTCAGCA